CAGGTAATGATGAACGGGACTAAATACCGCAGACGCTCAAATCTGTTAAAACAGATGGAGCACAAGCTTATAATCTCTAATAGTAAGCACTACTCCCTCCGCCACTTTGGACATGACCATCGTCTGTATGCATGCATGACCCGATTCATGACTGGACATTTCCCACATGGAGACTTCCACAACAAAATGAATCTTGACAGTTCTTGCTTATGCACATGTGCAGACATCCATGAATCACAAGACCACATTCTATATGAATGTCCGTACTGGATCAGACCACAAGGTATCAGGCCGCCTAAACGGGTATCAGACCAGGTGCGCATAGAGCTCATATCTGCGGGGAAACAGCTGGAGCTCCAAAATAAAGAACAGCAGGTGTCAATTGATGACATTCAAGACTTTCTGTCACTCAACCTGTTAGTAGGCACATTCAAGTGGCAAGACTTAATGGAACACTTACGATCAGATGTGTTCCCTGAACATGAGAGAGATGCCCCAGGGTGGCAATTCCATCTAACATACTTAGCCTTTGATGCCCTGGTCCTTCAGCGACCGGCCCTTTTCAAAAAATACCACCGAGAGACTCGCAAGAGGAGAACGCCGCCCACATTCCTGCAATGGCTCTTCTCACAAAAACGATGGCTCATCAAACATGTCTGGGCCAAATACAAACGCATGCACCCTGGCACACAAGCGCAGTTCCAGGACGTTGCGCCAGACTGGCTGAAGTCAGTCATGACTGCAGCCCGAGTACCTCTCAAACCAGAAAGTTACAAAGAAGGCAAAGACAAGACCTCCGACTGGAAACAGGATGGCCAAACAGACATTGCCGAGTTTGTATCTTCAACCGTGGGATCCCCTGCATCCAAGGACCTAATTTTATTACCAGACATCAATAGCAGGAAGGAGGTAGCCCCTGACAAGCATGTAGACCGTTCCACGGACACATTGCCAAGCCTGCCGCCACAACACGGACCACTAAACCCTCTCTTTTCTTAATGTCCGCTATATTATCAGAGCTCACAGACTCCCTGCACCAGCATCGAACGCTCGTAAACAGGTGTTCATTACCCTACATAGGTAGCACTTTAAACACAAGAGATTTTTTTAAAAAATACTCACTTCCACAGCCAAATCCACCGGTCGACATTCTTCTACTAGGAACCACCGGACGTCCATAAGAGGCGAGCTCGCCAATTCTTGCCATCTATCAATAAATTCGACCACGTATGGCACGTCGTCAAGGAGAGCGGAGATACTGTGCTAGAGTTCTGCAGTGGTCTGCTGGTGCGCCTCTTCAACTTTGTGTGAAGAGACTCAGCCTGACACCTGCTGTGTTTGGCTCGCAGCTTCCGTGACTCTGCTCATGGATCTTCATATATAGAGCCAAAATATTGGCTGAATTAGCCTTTTGTTTCTGCCTGCGCTTCTCTCTCAAAGAGCACACATCACGCTTACACTGACGACGACAACAATTACAATGTTAACGACAATATCAGTCCCAGTGTTCGATGCTGTGAGCTCAATCTCATGCACAAATGCAACTGCTCGTGAGACCTCGATCAGCTCTCCGATGTGCGATGCGTTCTTGCACCAGGGCAGGGGCCTGACATGTATGCCGCATGCGCACCCAGCCATGACCCCCGTATCGTGCTTTCATAGGACGGGTAATCAGTTCACCGCCAATGTACGTTTGTGCGTCTTGCTCTTTATGACAGAACTTGACGTGACATCTAGGACCCGCACGTCGCGTAGCTCTTCTTATTGCTCAAGAAAGATGGTCGCAGCAGCAGATGGCATATACCAGGTGTGATTTACTTTCCTCATGCGTTCCAAGTGCACAGCTGAATGGGACCTTGTACAGGCAGGAATCAGCACTTACAGGGCATCCCAAATCTCTATGCCCCTAGCATTCAAGATATCCAAGACCCTCGGCTGGACAATCGCTCAGAACTTCAATGCACATTCGATGGGTCTGCGAGTCTCGGTTTGAAGCAGGTGGTGTTGTATCTGATGTCCGTCTGTCATTTCAGGCGTATATGAAATTTCAATGCAGAACAGTAAGTTCTCGGCCATTGCATTTTTACTTGAGCAGAATGCTGAATGCCTTTGCAGACGAGGCAGATGACAAGATCCACATTTTTTCTCGAGGTGCATACACCACCCGTGCGCTCGCTGGCGTAATCAACGAAGTCGACCTGCTCCCGACATGCAACCACCAGCAGATGCCATACGAGAACAAGGTGTACACGTGCACGACACCACTTGGCTAGCAAAGGGCACACTCTCAAGAAGATGT